CCGCAAGGTGAACAAAGCCGCAACGGCGGCCTTACCGCTTGCTCGCTGGCTTTCTACCTCGCCGGCTTTCATTCCCGCCGCCAATCGCTCGGCAGGCTGCGAAGGGAGCCGGGGGGGGGGGGACTTGAAAAGCCGAGCGACGTATGTTTTTATGCTTTTTAAGATGTCGAGCTGAGTAGAAAAGTTCAGCTTTAATCGGCCACGGCTTAGAGCTGCAGTTTGACACAGATAAGGAGAGGAGAAGACTTTGAAGTGGTTTCTGATTTTTTTTTCCCCCGTGCAGTCGGAAAAAAAGTTTCCTATTTATGCAGCGTCTGGGGGACGATCCCAGGATGCTTGGCTCTTTTTTTTTCATTATTTTATATATATATATATATTTCCATCCATCTTGCAGAAACGGGCCCTGAATCTCAAAACTGGCTCTGCTCCAGATGCTTGCAAGGCAGATTTTCCCGCTTTGCGTCCCCTTCTCTCCTTGTCCACTTCCCGTTCCTTGCTCCGACCGCAGTTGGGTGGCTTGCCAGGAAGCTTAGGTCGCAAAAGGGGATCATGTGACCCCCCCCCAGGGATGCTGCGACCGTCGTAAGTGCGAGTCAGTTGACCAGCGTCTGAATTTTGACCACGTGGCCGTGGGGGAGGCTGCGACGGCCGCCAGGGCGAAAATCGGTCCCAAGTCCCTTCTTTCAGCGCTCTTGGGATTTTGAACAGTCACTAAACGGACGTAAGTTGGGGCTAGTTGCATGAGGAGCCCTGTTAATCGGGCTAGATTGGGCCCGATGCCAGGATATTAGCTGCGACTGTCAGAATTCCTCCCCCGCCCAAGCTCTTTGCTTGCCTGGAGTTAGGAAATTAATATCAAATTATAATACTACTCAGGATCATGCTGGCTCAGCACCTGAGAAGGGCGGGGGAACGAGGGGGGGGGATGGATGAGTTGGTACCATTGTGAAGCCCCCCCCCCAAATCTAGGGAGGTGCTGGTGTTTTAGAGGCCAATTTCCTTCCCTCCTTCCCTCCTCTTTCTCCTTTCCTCTCTCTCTTCTCTTTCTCCTTCCTTCCTTCCTTCCTTCCTTAAGATGATTAAGGCCTGGAGACTAAAACATATGAAGAACGGTTGCACGATTTGGGTAGTGTAACCCCCTGGTCAGGCAGGAGATCCTCTCCAATTTCAGACAAAACATTGTCTAATTTCTTCTTAAAAACTTCCAGTGTTGGAGCATTTACCGCTTCTGGAGGCAGGTGGTTCCACTGGTTAATTGTGCTCACTGTCGGGAAGTTTCTCCTTAGTTCCAGGTTGCTTCTCTCCTAGAATTACTTCTCATCCGTTGCTTCTTGTCCTGCCTTCGGGTGCTTTGGAGAATAGCTTGACTCCCTCTACTTTGTGGCAGCCCCTGAGATACTGGAAGACTGCTATCACGTCACCTTAAGGACTAGAAACTTGACAATGCACTGCCTTGTTGCTTGTTTCTTATGCTCCGGCCGGGCCTGGAAGGTAGAATAAAAACTGAAGAACCTCTAAAGAGCCAAAGTGGAAGAAGAAAAAGACATTTATTTCTCTCCTTTTTTTTGCTAAAAAAAAACCACCCTTTCCTTCCGCTCCTGCCATCATCAAGAGGGGAAATCAACTCCAGGCCATGCCAACCCTTGTCGGGCAGAGTACAGTTGTGTTGTGACAGCCGTAGCGTGTAAGGAAGCCTCTGTGCAAGAAGGAGCGTGTCAATGGTCCCGGGAGGGAAGCCCCGGGAGCTTTGCTTAGCTGTGACTTCTCACACCCTCACTCACACACACACACACACACACACACACACACACACACATATACACACACACACACACATCCCGCTTTCCCAGCAGGCTCCAGAGAGGGAAAAGCTGGCGATTTAAGGTAGCCCAAAGGTTGCGATGCCAAACAGCAACTGGAGTTCAGCTCCGGTTTGATAGCCTGGAGATGCCTTTGCTCTTTTCCCGCAGCCTTCCCAGCTGCCCATCATTCCCTGGATGGCCGAGCATCCCGCTGGTAGGACTTGGGTTAATCCGGTTAATGCGACCTGCCCGCTTTTCATCTAGGGCAGAAGAGTCGTACGGCTGGCAGGGACCTCCGAGGTCTTCTCGTCTGACCCCCTGCTAAAGGGAGGAGTCCTTATACCACCATCCTGGTCCAAGGTTCTCAGAAAAACCTCCAGGGATGGAGCGCCCACAACTTCTGGTGGCAAGTCATTCCACTGATTAACCGATCCGGGATTACAGGATGAGAGAACAGCCGCGTTGGAAGGGACCTTTTGAGGTCTTCTAGTGGTCCAACTCCCCCCGCTCAAGACCACTCCAGGCAAATGGTGGTCCAATCTTTTCTTAAACACCTCCGGGGATAGAGCACCCTAAGAATTGATCAGGGGAACGCACACCGAGGCCATAGGAATTGCAGGCTCTTGCAGACAGGGTACAGAGTGGTAGGTAGCATCCTCAGTGCTGGAAGGAAGGAAGGAAGGAAGGAAGGAAGGAAGGAAGGAAGGAAGGAAGGAAGGAAGGAAGGAAGGAAGGAAGGAAGGAGGAGGAAGACTGTGGGGTCCTTGGTGCTCTCTGTGCTTGGGGGTTTTCTTGCAGACGTTGCATGACCCAACCTAGGTAACCTCATCACCCCACAGTCGTCCTCCTCCTCCTCCTCCAAGACTCCTCCCTTCTAACCCTGATGATGTTCCCTAGTTGGGTCGTGAAACGTCTGCAAGAACCCCCCCTCCCAAGCTCAGAGAGCATCAACCCCCAGAGCTGCCGAAGTTCCCTTTTACTGAGGCTTCAACTCTGAGCATCCCAGTGCCCCAACCTTGAGCTACGGATAACGTGGCAGAAGGGCACCATTTATGCGCCTTGCCCGGCCCAGCGCCAGGTGAGGCCTGCTGCATCTTTCCGGAACCATCTGCTCGGCCGCTGACCTCTCCTGCGGAGGGCAGAAAGGAAAGCGCTGTTCTGTCTGCACGGCAGTGGGGGCACCGAGGCCCAGCGCAGCGGGAGGCATTGATCTGTTTGCATGTTTCCGTGCGAAGGTTTGCCTGCCTGCTGTTGCACCGCCGACGGATCCATTCCCTTCTTGTCACCTCGGTTCAGGCTCAGCCAGCAGCCCTTGCGTGCAGACAGGCCCGGAGAACAGCGGGGGTGGTGTTGGTGGTGGGAGAAAAGTAGATTTGGGAGGCCCCGAGGTCCACACACACAGCAATTAAAGAGACCTTCATCCCCTCTCTCTCTTCACACACACACACACACACACAACAACAACAACAACAACAACAACGTCCTTGCATCTTGCGGGGGGGGGGACTTCAAGGAAGTCCCCTCCTGTTTAAAAAAGTGTTTTGTTTTGTTTTCTTTTTAATTGAAGGAATGATATTTAGCGAGGACGTAAAAAAACCCACAGCAACGAATCAAAAGGAAAAGCGGGAAAGAGAAAAGGAAGGAAAGATGCAAGGAGGAAGGAGAGAGAGAGAGAGAGAGAGAGAGAGAGAGAGAGAGGAAGAGAAAGGCAAAGAAAAGAGAAAGAGAGGAAGGAAGGAAGGAAGGAAGGAAGGAAGGAAGGAAGGAAGGAAGGAAGATAAGCTTACTTCTTCTCTCTCTCTCTCCCTTCTTTCTTTCCTTCCTTCCTCCTGTCCCTGATTTTTCTTCCTTCCTTCATTCCCTTCCTTCTTCCCTTTCTTTCTTTCTTTCTTTCTTTCTTTCCTCCCTGCCTTTATTTCTTCGCTCCCTCCTTTCCTTCTCCTCCTTCCTTGCTCAAAATGAGCGTTCTTATTTCAAAGAATAAAATTCAGCGGGAGCCTTTTTTGGGCAGCCCCAATTTAGAGGCTGCTGGCAGACCAACACCTTCTCCTCCTCCTCCTCTCTCCCTTCCACCCCCCTTCCCCACATCCAGTCATGTCTGGGTCAGTGCAAATAAATGGCCACTGTTGGGGGCCGCCGGGTCTGATTAGGCTCAGGGCTTCCGGCCCAGCCAGCCTCGTTTGGCCCCCTCCCAGAGCTGGCAGATCCTGCCTCGCTGTCTTGCCCCACTGGGGCTCCCCCCCATCCCATCCCGATGGCTGCTCAGACCCCTTGCCACAATGGGGACAGACGGCAGCCACATCAAAGGGCCAGCCTGGGCTTCTGCCTCTTTGAAGTTGAGGCTTGATGGGCAGCACCCCCCAAAATTTCACTGCCTTGTGCTTAAATTATGGGAGACACCTGTGCCCATCTTTTATTTATCACCGGCTGTCCAGCTGCACTAACAAAGACACACGTGCACACACACACACACAGACGCCCATTTCCCACGGAGATGGGGAGGAGAGATGAGATGGGGGGGGGCTGCCAGAATCGCTTCGGATGGTCGCCCAGGTAAAATATCTCCCCCTCTGTGACACGGAGACCCCTCCATGCCAGGCAAGGGCACGACACCCCAAAGGCAAGGAGAGAAGAACGTCTCCGCAAGCCATCTTTGGATCTTGATCATTTTGCACTCATTGCAAGCCACCTTGGTTAGCTGGACACTGATTCAAAGCTGTTTGTAAGCCTTGCAAACTTTCATAGGTTGCAAGGGACCTTGGAGGTCTTCTAGTCCATCCCCCTGCTCACGTTGGAGACCCTGGACCAAATATCTGTCTAGTCTCTTCTTAAAAACCTCCAGTTGGAGCACCCACAACTTCTGGAGGCAAGGAGTTCCACTGATTCATTGTTCTCGCTGTCAGGAAGTTTCTCCTTAGTTCTAGGTTGCTTCTCTCCTTGATTAGTTTCCATCCGTTGCTTCTTGTCCTGCCTTCTGGTGCTTTGGGGAATAGGTGGACCCCCTCCTCTTCTTTGTGGCAGCCCCTCAAATGTTGGAAAACTGCCATCCTGTCACCTCTGGTCTTTTTCTTCATTAGACTAAACATCCCAATTCTTCTAACTGTTCCTCGTATGTTTTAACCTCCGGCCCGCTCCTCATCTTTGTCGCTCTTCTCTGCACGCTTTCCTCCGCCAATAAAGAAACAAGGAGGCCGGTTATAAAGAGTAGACTTTTTATTCTCCAACAAGTTTGATGGAATGCCAAAATACAGACGGCGTCACAGGTCAACCAGGAAGGACCGTCCCCGTCGCCTCCTTCCAGCAGCCTAAGCAAAGCATCATCCCGTCCTCGTGGGGTCTAGGACAACTCGCCCTGGCCATGTCCGGCACAGCCCAACTCAACGTGACCAATTGGCCGTAGCCAGTTCGCCACGGCCAACTCCGCCACGGGAAAACTGGCCGTGGGAGAAGAGTTACCCTAATACCGAAGAAAAAACAAGTCAAATCAAATCACTAAAGAAAGGAGGCCGAAGAAAGGGCAACTTGAAACGGGAATGACAAAAATTAAAATAATAGTAAGAACGGTTGAATTGTCCCACAGCATGTTTTCCCATGGCGAATTGACCGTTGCTGACTTGGCCGTGGCGAGTTGTCCCGGCCGATTTGTCCCGTTCCGTCCTCACGAGCCCACCCATTACACAGAGTAGGGGTAGCTTTTGGAGAACGAGGCCTGTCCTGAGGTGTCTTCTCTCCCACCCTGTGCAGCCCTCTACTCTTCGCCCGGCTTCCCCTAGATTTCCCGGGGCTGCTTCTCCCAGCTACGACGGACCGTATTGCCTTGCTTCAAAAACGAAAGAATGGCCTTCCATAGGAAGAATACTCGCCACTGGACAGCCCTAGGCTAGATCTGAGGTGGCGGTCACCCTGTAGAATTGGGGAGGGTTTTTTTTTTATTATTGCATGTTACAAGATCTCGGGGGTCAATCGGATGCTCTCCCGGATCTCAAACCAGGTTTGTTGATCCTGGAAGTCGTGAGAGGGTCTTGGCCTGGGAAGGTGTCCTTCTCGACGTAAGGTCCATTTTTACCAGCTTTGTTGATCAGCTGTGTAGGGGAGGCAGATGTATTTCTGAGACCTCCCGTGATGGACTTTGAGGGTTTTCAAGTTGATCAGGGACCCCCCCCCCGAGAAGTAAACAGAGAACGATCTTGACTGGAAGAGGAAGGACGAGGAGGAAGAGAGCAACGAGGTTGTTGAGTTGTTCTTTGTGTGTGTGTGTGTGTGTATGTGTGTGTGTGTGTGTGACGGGTTCAGCGTTCCACCCCTGAGCGACAATGAAATATATACCCTGTAAGTCGATAATCAAAGACAGCACCGAGGACGATCAGAAAATTATCCGGATTGAAGGAACGTGGAACGGAAGACTGTCCGTCCCTGGATGACACGGCCACAGGGACGTACCTTGACCCGGAGAGGCCAAGAGGTTGAGGTGGGTGAGAATCCCGCTTTCCTCAGCAAGAGAGGGACAGAGGGAGACCGGTCGGAGCTGGGAAAGAGAGCAGAGAATGGGCCAGGGGAGATGGGAGATCTTAGAGGGGACTTGAGTTTGTGGGCTCCGGATACACCTGGAAGAATTGTTGAGGTCTCCAGAGCAGTCCCCGTTCAGCTGCAGGTTGTCCACCTCAGATGGAAGTAGGGGGGGGAGCATAGAGAGGTCCTTCCTGAACCCCCTTGGTGAAGGTGCCGTTGAGGGTGCAGGTCAAAAGAGTTATTGCGATCAGTGGCTTAAAAAAAAAGTACAAGTCTGTAAGAATCTACGGTTAGTTACAAAGACCGTCTTTTACGGGAGACCCCCACTCCCTACCCGATCAGGTAGAGGCCAAGAAGGTCAGTCTGAAGGAGTCCCCCCTAGGGATGAATGGTCAGAACAGGACCCAGCCTGTTTCTGGAGCCCCTTCAACCTCCTCGTTCTGAGCAGCGAAAGGGGTATCCCACCGCTAACACCACGCACGAGGCTCCTGCTAACTCCTCGGTAGGGTTCCCCGCGTGAAACCACACTCAACAACAAGCGACAACTATCAGAGGGGTCTTCTGCAACCCATGGTGTTGAGAAGCTGGGACCTCATGATCTGGATGCTGGTCAAGATCTTCCTTTGATGGCCCGTGAGATTGATTCCCAGGTTTTGCACGTCCCTGGAGGAGGAAAAAGAGGGGAAAGAAAGAAAGAAAGAAAGAAAGAAAGAAAGAAAGAAAGAAAGAAAGAAAGAAAGAAAGAAAGAAAGAAAGAAACAAGCAGAATAAGCTAGAATGATTTGATGCCGAAAAGCAAAAGAGACCTCATTATTTCTCTCGATGTTGCGTTCTCCTGCTGCAGGTTTTAATATTTTATGGACGTCGAAAGAATTGTCGGGCGTTTGAGATTTTCTGATGTTTTTCTAGCCTAAAAGTGCCAGGAGATTAAAGATTGCTGGCTTGCTTCTTCTGGCTTTCAGGAGGAAGATGGAAGATGAGACATTAGCGTTACATCACCATCGTTCCAGCTTCAAAGGCTTTGTAGTCCTTGATCCTTCTGGGGTCGGCCCCATTCGAGGGCCGAGGAGTAACATCCGACTGTCAAAACTGACACCAGTTGAAACAGCGTTAGGCGTGTCTCAGCAAGGAAGAGGGCAGCCTGCCTTAACACCTACAAGAACCTCTCTCCAAGGCAGATTAGAGACAAACCAGCATCTGACCTTCAATGAAGGTTTGCGCTGATTGGCTTGGATTGGAATCCAGCCAAATGTCACGTACATTCATGATGATGGCGCAAGGCAGAAATTCATCTGGCAGAAATTCATCTGGAACGACCTGGGGAGTGGGGGGGGGGAAATCTCCACAGAAGGACCAGAATATCCCCCAAGATTTGGGGCAGGGGGGAAAGAAGGGGGAGGGGTCTTCAAGAAGCAGAGATGCTCCAAGGACAAACTATTGATTGATCCTCAAGAGGTTCTCCAGCCTGGAGAGTCCCCAGCCTCTGACATCACAGGCACCTTTGGGGTTGGACTAGATGATCTCTGAGATGCCCTGCTTACAGCAAAGGCCCTTCCTTACCTGGGATGGTTTTCAGGTTGGCTCAAATCTAGAAGAAATGTTAAGTTTTATAAGATGGGGGAGGGGAAGGATCCACTCTGTTCAGTGGGGTGCAGAGATAAGGCCCAACGGCTGAAAACCAGACACTGGCACTGTGTATTTGTGTTACTGTGTGTGTGTGTGATGTACTTACTCAATATTCATGTGCATCACCATGCCGAGAGACGAATAGCCAGCCAGGGCGAAATTCTCCTGGTACCTTCCTAGCCGAATCGAATCCAGCCACTCTCCCACAGAGCCACAGCGGGTGAAATCAATGTGGCCTCGTTCGGACAGCGTTTGGGTGAACCTGCAGGCAAAAAAGCAGGGGGGTGGTCGGTGGAGGGGGGGGGAGTTGACCGTAACATTTTCATCATTCACATTACATTTGGTTCCCCCCCCCTTTGGCATCCTTGCTTTCACGATTATATCCCATCGTTTCTCTGATAGTAGTGTAACTCTGGTTCCGCGGCAAACTGCCCCACGGAAAATTGGCTCTGATGAACTGCCTGGAACGAATTGGCCAGGACAAGTTGACCGGGATGAATTGTCCAGGACAAGTTGGCTGGGACAAATTGACTGGGATGAGTTGAATGGGACGAATTCTCTGGGATGAGTTGCTGGGACAAATTGACTGGGATGAGTTGACTGGGACGAATTGTCCAGGACGAATTTTCTGGGATGAGTTGGCTAAGACAAATTGACCGGGATGAATTGTCCAGGACAAGTTGGCTGGGACAAATTGACTGGGATGAGTTGGCTGGGAGAAATTGACTGGGATGAGTTGACTGGGACGAATTCTCTGGGATGAGTTGGCTGAGACAAATTGACCGGGATGAATTGTCCAGGACAAGTTGGCTGGGACAAATTGACTGGGATGACTGGGACGAATTGACCGGGATGAATTGTGTCCAGGACAAGTTGGCTGGGACGAATTGTCCAGAAGAATTGCCCGGGACGAATTGTCCTAGACCCTGCCTGCCACGGCCGCATTTCCCGCCCCTTACCTGTTGACCGTGGCTGTGCATTTTAAGTTTTGTGGGTTGCGAATCAGCTTGTCCAGGACGCTGAGAATTTGGGAGAAGCGCGGCCTGTCGTCTGGCTCTTTCTGCCAGCAACTGAGCATCAGCTGGTGAAGGGCCATGGGGCAGCCCATGGGAGCGGGCAGCCGGTAGCCTTCCTCCACCGACTGAATGACCTGCGAGGAAGAGTCGCCCGCTTAACCTCGAACCCAAGGTTTTCTCCTCTCTAAAAGTTTTCTCCTCTCTAAAAGTTTTCTCCTCTCTAAAAGCAACGGCGGTCGTGTCTCTCTGGGCGCCCTTCGGAAGACGGCTCAGATCAGAAGCGTACAAACTGGCCTGGACTTACGTTTCTGGTTGTTAAGTGACTTTTTTTTTTCAGTGCTGTTGTAACTTGAATGGTCACTAAATGGACCGTTGTAAGTCGAGGCGCTTCAGATCCAGCTCCCTCCCCCCCCTTAAGATTGCAGACCCTTCTCCGCTTACGTCCTGATTGGTCATGTTCCAATAGGGTCGCTCGCCATAGGCCAGCACTTCCCACGTGACGATGCCGTAGCTCCAGACGTCACTGGCCGAGGAGAACTTCCGGAAGGTGATGGCTTCGGGGGCCGTCCACCGAACGGGGATCTTGCCTCCCTGGAATTCAAAGCGGGCCCGATTAGATGACCTCCAGGGTTCCCCTCCGAAACCTTACACTCTACCCTCAGCCCTGATTGGATGGCTAAGAACGGGGTGGTGTGGTGGGGGGGATCACATACGCTTTGGAAGAAACGCATCGCAACTCACAACCGCTTCAGTGCAGGGGGAGCCCCTGTTAAGTGTGAGCCAGCCGCCCCAAAGGCGAATGTGATCCTGGGTTGCGTTAACGGAGACCTAGAACCACGATCACGTGAAGTGTCGGCGCTTATTTGTTTCACCGTACAAGGACGCTTACTGTGGTTGTGTAAGCGGCATCCGGGTTGTCGTCCAGAACGCGAGACAGGCCGAAGTCCGAGACTTTGCAAACCAGGTTGCCGTTGATGAGGATGTTACGAGCCGCCAGGTCCCGGTGGACGTAACCCAGATCGGAGAGGTAGCGCATGCCGGCGCTGATGCCCCTGAGCATGACCACCAGCTGGAGGACCGTAAATTGCCCGTCGTGTTTCTGGAGAGGAGGGGAGGAAAAAACCCAAGCTGGGTGGTTTTTCTGGTGTGTGGGCACCAAGTTGGAGAATCCTCGTCTCTGCCCATCCCCTCTGCCCTCGAACTCAGCTCTTTTGAGGAGCTGGACAGTGCAGGAGCTGAGAAAATAATGACAGACCTTCCTTCCTTCCTTCCTTCCCTACAGATCTTCTTCCCTCTCTCCCACCTTCCTTTCTTCCCTTCATCTCTCCCTTTGTTCCTTCTTTCCTTTCTCTCTCCTTTCCTTCCTTCTTCTCTCCCTTCCTTTCTTCCTCCCTTCTGTCCCTCCTTCCCTCTCCTTCCTTCCTTCCTTCCTTCCTTCCTTCCTTCCTTCCTTCCTTCCTTCCTTCCCAATGCTTTGAATGCAGCATTGCAGGCTGACTCTGCCCACTGCCAGCAGTTCGATCCAGACTGGCTTAAGGTTGACTCAGCCTTGCGTCCTTCGGAGGTCGCTAAAATGAGGAGCCAGATTATTGGGGGCCATAGGCTGACTCTGTAAACCGCTTAGAGAGGGCTGTGAAGATCGGTGAAGTGGCATATAAGTCTACTGCTATTGCTCTCTCTCCCATGTTACACCTCTCTTTCCAACTTTGAGCACCGTGGCGTTGCAGGCATCTTACTCGGAGGAAGGAATCCAGGGATCCATTCTCCATGTACTCGGTCACAATCATCATGAGTTTGCCTGCAAAGACAAGAAAGATTAAATAAGAGAGCTGGTTGGACTTAACCCCAAGATCTAAACCAGGGGTCCTCAACCGGCGGGCGAGTGGACACGGGGGTGCGTGCATCCCCACTTGCGTGCGTAGTGGGCAAGCGCTTGTGCGCGGGCTCCCTTTGTCGTCTCCATCTGTAAAATGGGCACAATGGCCCAGCTGAACATTGCAAAGTCCAGAGGGGCAGGATATGGATGCACGGCTAGTTTGGGCCGATCTAACAACTCCCAGGAACCCTGATAAGATCCGTCGCCGGAGAGACCTACTTTTGGTGACCACCCCTTCCAGATGGATAACGTTGGGGTGATCGAACCGGGCCATGATGCTGGCTTCGCTGAGGAAGTCCCGCCGCTGCTTTTCCGTGTAACCAGGTTTCAGGGCCTTGACCGCGACGGGCACTTCTCTTTTCCCGGGGATCTTCAGACGGCCGTAACAGACTTCTCCGGATTCACCTGACCGACGAGAAAAAAAGGACGTCCAGTTCATTCAAAGTTAGGATGGCGTTTTTCTCAACCGCAGGAGGGGAGGAAGAGGGGAGGACTTCAACTCCCAGAATTCCTCAGCCAGGATTCTGGGAGTTGAAGTCCTCCCCTCTTTCCAGCTGGTGTTGAGAAAGGCTGAATGAAGGAAGAAGGAAGAAGGAAGAAGGAAGAAGAAGAAGAAGAAGAAGAAGAAGAAGAAGAAGAAGAAGAAGAAGAAGAAGGAAGAAGAAGAAGAAAAAAGAAGGAAGAAGAAGAAGAAGGAAGAAGAAGAAGGAAGAAGGAAGAAGAAGAAAAAGAAGAAGGAAGAGAAGGAAGAGAAGGAGAAGGCGAAGGAGAAGGAGAAGGAGAAGAAGAAGAAGAAGAAGAAGAAGAAGAAGAAGAAGAAGAAGAAGAAGAAGAAGAAGGAAGGAAGGAAGGAAGGAAGAAGAAGAAGACTCACCCGAGCCGATAACTCTCTCGATCTTAATCCGAGACGCGTCGATTTCCCGCATGACCTCGTGGGCAGCCTGACAGGGGTCTTCGTAGGTGTGAGACTCCAGGTAAAATTTAGATTCGGGGAATTTCACTGTCGGGATAGGTGAGAAAAACGAAGAAGCTGAATTTAATTTTGCTTAAATCTGCACATTCGTTTCAGGCGCTCGTCCCGTCAAGTTGCAAAGGGCCCCAGAGGTCAGCTAGTCCAGCCCTCTGCAACAGGCAGGAAAACCAAACAACTCTTAAAGACCTGGACTGACGACCCATCCAGGCGTTTACGACCATCGCAGCATCCCCGTGGCCACAGTCATTCGTTCTGAATCCAAATTCAGACGCCTTTTTTGCAACCGACTCAGGTTTATCGCGTGACCCCTGGAACACTGCGGCCGTCGTAAATATGAGTCAGGTGCCAAGCCTCTGAATTTTGATCACGTGCTGCGACGGCCGTGAAGGGTGAAAAACAGCCAATAAGTTCCTTGTTTCAGGGCTGTTGTAATTTTGAACGGTCACTGAACAATCCGTTGTAAGTTGAGGACTTTTCTTGCACTTACCTTGCCCGTTCTGGTAATGCATCTTCTCTTCATCTGGGTCTTGGAAAGCCTTGCTGTAGCCACAGTGCCTGTCGGGAGCAGAAGCGGGTGTTGATAAAAGTGTGAACGGCAACTTCCCTGCCTCTCCGCACAAACCTCCTCACGGTCCAGCCGGAGAGGGGCTTCCGGTTGGGACTGATCCCTCCAGATCACAACCCGTATTGCAACAGGTTCTGTTGCAACCGGGAGAGACCAGCCCACCCGTGAGGCGTCTCAATTTCTCTGGGTGACTTATCTGGAGTGAGTCATTTTGGGGCAGTGCTGCTCAATGAGGGGAGCTGGAAGAGGGCTGGACTTCAATTCCCAGAATTCTCCAGCCACGCTGGCTGGCTGGATGGAGAGAGGATGGAGGGAGGGACAGAGGGAGGAATAGTGGACAAGGAAGGAGGGAGGGAGGAAGGAAGAAGGAAGGAAGGAGGCAGGGAGGGAGGGAGAGGGAGGGAGCAAAGAAAGAAGGAGAGAGGGAGGGAGGGAGGAGGGAGGAAGGGAAGGAGGAATAGTGGAGGGAGGGAGGGAGGGGAGAAGGGAGGAAGATAGGAAGGAAGGAAGGAAGGAAGGAATGAAGGGAAGGAAGGAAGGAAGGAAGGAAGGAAGGAAGGAAGGAAGGAAGGAAGGAAGGAAGAAAGAAAGAAAGAAAGAAAGAAAGAAAGGGGGAGGGAGCAATAGCAGGGATGTTGTATTCTGTATTGTAAGATCCCTTGCTACAGAGGAAAGATATGTGGGATTGGGGGCACCTTCTTGCCCTGATGTGCACATCTGGATGAGTCCAGCCTGCTCAAAGGGGAAGACCCTACCTCTTCTTGCAAATGAGGAGCAGAAGCAGGGCTACCAAGCCGCTGATGAGTGTCAGGCAGACCCACACCACCGTCATGGTGTCGTATTGGGGAACTACTGGAAAAAGAAAAAGGAAACGGAATTTTAGCCACGTCAGCACTGGCACCGGTCAGTTTCACCAGATTTTGCAACACGGCCAGCCAAGAGATGAAGAAGAAGAAGAAAGGAGAAGGAGAAGGAGAAAGAAGTAAGTAAGTAAGGAAGGAAGGAAGGAAGGAAGGAAGGAAGGAGAAGGAGGAGGAGAAGAAGAAGAAGAAGAAGAAGAAGAAGAAGAAGAAGAAGAAGAAGAAGAAGAAGAAGAAAGGAGAAGGAGAAGGAGGAGAAGGAATGAAGGGAAAGAAGGAAAGAAGGAAGGAGAAGAAGAAGAGGAGGAGGAGGAGGAGGAGAAGGAGGAGGAGGAGGAGGAGGAAGCATGCAAAAAAAGCATGGCCTTGGGGAAGAATCCTTGCAAAAATAAAGGGGAAAGTAAGAGCAAGGCCTCCACTTGCGACACATGCAAAAAAATGTGATTTTTTTTCTCATAGCCAGGGAGCCCAAGCAGGGGAAGAAGAAACTTTTCTCTCCAAAATCAGGATCTCTTCCTGGTTTTGGATCTGCTTTCCAAGCCGGGAAAGCGGTTTCTTCTCGACATGCACTTTGCCCTCCCCAAAAAAATCTCCTTGGGGACTCTCGCCACTGGACTCTCACAGCCCTGCCCCCTCCCCCGGGCTCTTTCCACACTCCTCCTCCTCCCTATTTTATCTCACTTGCTTTGGCTGTTTCGACTTCGAGGGCCTGGCTGAACTTGCCGCAGCCGGCCGACGTCCGGGCCCGGACCTGGAAGATGTAGCGGGTGGCCGGCTTCAAGCCCAGGACGGTGGTCCGGTTGACCTTGGATTTCAGGGTGGAATAGCTCTGCATCTCCTTGTCCTGGGGAAAGAGGAGAGGGTGGTGGGGGCTGGGGGGGGGATGAGACCCCCAGGCCTTCTGCTCTGGAGAGGGTCCCTTGAGTTGAGAAAGAGGAGGGGGGGAAGAGACAGCTTCCTTCCTTCCTTCTCCTCTCCTTTACTTCTTTCCTCCCTTCCTTCCTCCCTCCCTCCCTTCTTCCTTCCATCCATCCATCCATCCATCCATGGCACCCTGTGCTTGAGTTGGACATGCCCATCTTGATATCCCCCAAAGCCCCTGAAGGCAGGACAAGAAGCAACAGGTGGAAACTGACCAAGGAGAGAAGCAACCTGGAATTAAGGAGGAATTTCCTGACAGTGAGGACAATGAACCAGTGGAACAGCTTGCCACCAGAAGTTGTGGGCGCTCCATCACTGGAGGCTTTTTAACCAGAGATTGGACAGCCATTATTAGTCTGGAATGGTCCAGGGTCTCCTGCTTGAGCAAGGGGGTGGGCTAGAAGACCTCCGAGGTCCCTTCCAGTTCTATTCTGATTGATCGGTTGAAACGGTCCAGGGTCTCCTGCTTGAGCAGGGGGGCTGGACTAGAAGACCTCCGAGGTCCCTGTTATTCACATAGGGGGACCCTGAGACCGCTTCCCTATGCTGCAGCCTTTGAAAGCCCCCCCCCCTTCGCCTCCAGGGAAAGAAAGACGGAGCCTCACCTTCTCGTAATATTTAATTTCGTATTCCAGGATGATGCCGTTGGGCTGCTCGGGCTGAGGCCACAGGAGGGTGACGCTGTGCTGACCCACGTTTTGCTGCTCGACTGCCGTCACTTGGGAAGGCGCTGCGGAGGGAGGGAGAGAGAAAGAGAGAGAGAGAGAGAGAGAGAAACAAGCAGGTCAGGGCAGAAGAGGAAGAAGGCACGAGCCCCGCCCACAGCCCCTCCCTCACAGGTGGGATGCAAACAAAGGGGTGGAGCCACAACTACCCGACAGGTAAGTTTCCTGGGATCCTTGAGTGTGACTGGAAGGGCCACAGGATTCCCCCCTCCCCTTAGGATGTCCTCCCAAGAATCAAGGTGTTGGAAGAGTCCTCAGAGGTCATCTAGTCCAACCCCTGCTCAAGGCAATGCTGGTCACCGGAGCTGGTAGTCCTCCAACACATCCTATTCTTATTGTGAGAATTATAAAAATGATCTCTCTCTCTCTCTCCTGCTCTTTCTCTCTCTTTTTCTCTCTCTTTCTCCCTCTTTTTCTGTTTCTCTCCCCGTCTCTGTTTTTCTCTCCTTCCCCTCCCTCTTTCTCTCTCTTTCTCCCTCTCTTTCTCTTTATTTTATATATATATAAAATAAATCTGTTTTTTGGATGGTTTCCCTCCCAGCTGGGAATCTGAGAAGCCCACTATATGGGGGGGGGGGGAGATAGCGAGTGCAAGAGACGCCTCTCGATAGATGTGGGAAGACGGTTGAGCGAGGCAGAGGGGCTGGATGTGTTTCCCATTTAATGGAAGACAGGCAAGGTGACCTTGGTGCATCAGCCTCTTTCCTCCAGCCTTCGGATTTCCTTTTTTTAGTTGTTTGTTTGTTTTTAAAAAATCAGTTTTACTAATTAAGCAAAATAAACAAGGGGGGAAAAAAAGACGGGAGAGGCTATACCTCGACGTACATAAAATGAATATTTCACTGTAGGGATGGGTGAAATGAAAATAAAAAGTTTTTTTTTTTTAAAAAAAAAAAAAAGGCCAGGCATCAAAATGATATTTTTTAAACGTATTTTTTAAAAAGGGGGGTTTTCTTTCTCTTTCTTTCTTCTCTTTTTCTTTCTTTCTTCTCTTTTTTTTCTTTCTGTCTTTTCTCCCTCCCTCCCTTTCTTTTTCTCTTTCCTTCCTTCCTTCCTTCCTTCCTTCCTTCCTTCCTTCCTTCCTTCCTTCCTTTCTCCCTTTCTTTCTTTCTTTTTCCTTTCTTTCTCTCCCTCCCTCTCCCCTTCCTTCCTTCCTTCCTTCCTTCCTTCCTTCCTTCCTTCCTTCCTTCCTTCCTTCCTTCCTTCCTTCCTTCCTTCCTTCCTTTCTCTTTATTTATTTATTTATTTATTTATACTTTGGACATTCACAACTGAACATTTAAATCATCAAATATAAGATAACAAAGCCGATAAGAGAAAAGAGATCATTTCAATTTTTTATATTTTTTTAAAGAAAAGATCATTTTTCTTTTTCAGAGGTAGGCAACCTCAATCCTGGGCCTCCCACTTTTCCAAATTTAAATGGAATCTAAAAATTTTAAACGTCTTAGCAAATTAAAACTTTTTACAGAGAACGGAGAAACCGTTAAAGACAGGAGGGGGAAATTAATCTGATTAATTAAACGAATTAATTTTTAGGACGTGGACATGGAAACGAAACGCATCTGTTTATCTGCTTTTAATTGTTTCTCTCTTTTGTCCTCTGGAATCCAAATTGGCCGCTCTTGCAAAATCCTGTAATATGTTTTTTACACACTGCGCAACCTTACACTTGTGTTTGCAGATCCAGCGTTGTATATTTTAGAGGGAAAGAAAAAAAAAAGAAAAGAAGAAGAAAAAAACCCCAACTCTCTTAAATTGAAGAACAGCTTGGGGTCGCCAGAGAAATGTAAAAAATGGCTTAATAAGACTCCCGCCGTGAAAATTGCCAATCCACCATTAAGAATTATTGAGAAAGTGATTGCACATAAAATAGGAAATAACATTAAAAAAAAAAAAAAGCTTCAGCAAAGCACCGTGCACAGATCCATTTGCATCCGGGTTTCCATTTTCCCGGCCATTAATAACAACAATTAGGGTGAAACGATTCTCACCGGACCAGCTAATACTGTAAATGATTTGCCATTAATAGCTACAATTAAGGCCGCAATCTTATAACCAGGGACTGATTTGATTTGCAATAAGGGAAGCAATTCCTTGCAAAATCCGGCCCAGTTTCCATCCGAGCTGCTGGCAAGACCTTCTCAGCACCAAAAATGTTAATTCTCAAGTGTCTTTCTGGAAAGTAGTGGTAGAACATGGCATCGTAGGGTTGAGAGGGACCTGTGAGATCTTCTAGTCCAACCCCCTGCGCAGGGCAGGAGATTTCTGGCCTGGCTTTTGCCGTGATACGTTTTGCTTTAGGAGCAGAGCAAGGCCGTATCCTGGCTTTCGTTTTTGTCTTCTCGTGACTTCGCGCAATTTCAGCCTCAGCAGATGCAAGAAAAACCAGATGTGGTAGTTCCACATATTGGTTGATCTGGAAGGAAGGAAGGAAGGAAGGAAGGAAGGAAGGAAGGAAGGAAGGAAGGAAGGAAGGAGGAAGGAAAGAAGGAAGAGAATAAGAGAAGAGAAGAGGAGGGGAAGGAAGAGGAGAAGAGGAAGAGGATGATGAAGGAGGAGGAGGAAGGGGAGGAGGAGGAGGAGGAGGAGAAGAAGAAGAAGAAGAAGAAAAGAAGAAGAACAACAACAACAATAACAACAAGAAGAACAAGGGGGAGAAGGGAGGAGGAGGAGGAGGAGGAGGAGGAGGAGGAGGAGGAGGAGGAGGAGGAGGAGGAGGAGGAGGAGAAGAAGAAGAAGAACAACAACAACGGGGAGAAGGGAGGAGGAGGAGGAGGGTGAGGTGGGCTGGGGACACCTTCTCCTACCTGCCTGGTTCGTGGTGATGTTGACGGCCACAAATCGCGGGGACTCATAGCTGAGGTCGGAGACCCCGTTGACGGCCTCCACCGAGAAGGAGTAATTGGTGTGAGCCAGAAGGTTGGAGACAGAGAGAGACCCTTGAGCCAAATTCATCTGCTGGGGGAGGAAACGGATGCCGGGCCCGCAGGATTCGCAGTGGCCCCCGCCCCAGGGGCAGCGATGGCAGATCACGTTGTAGCTGACGTCTCGCCGCCCGCCCTTGTCCAGCGGGGGAGCCCAGTCCAGGGTCACCGTCGTGCCGTTCACGCTGGAGAGCAGGTTGGTGGGAGCCGAAGGGGGACCTGGAGAGGTGGAGAAGGAGCTAAGAATCCAGTTGCAAGCCAACTCGACCTCCAACTTGAAGGACGGCGTGTGAGAAAGACTTTGGGAGACAGAGGAAGGGAAGCTGACCAGGAATGGTCAGATAAGAGAGGACTTAGACCACAAATGCATAATGGGGAAGGAAAAAAATTCAGGAGAGAACTTTCCTAACTTATTTCTGTGGAGAGCCTCCTTCATCCAGGCCCTGGTTGTCCCCTTTGCAGTCATCTGGTCATTTGCCTTTTTTTAGAGAGCCGTTGAGGCCATTTGGACACAGTGGCCTCAACAGCTCTCTAAAAGGATGCAAATGACCAGCGGTCTGCAAGGCGTATAAATCCTTCCTTTCCCCACCCTCCAGTCAGAGTCGAAGAAGTTTCTTGGAGGAGAAGCGAAACGTCTTCGAAGGAAAAACAAGGAAGTCCAGTGGAAGAAAAAAAATGCAACTGACAAAGAGATGAAAATCGGAGAAATTGCGATTATTAGGAAAGTGCACCTGACACACCGAAGCTGACAAAATTTGGAATGAGAAGGGAAACCTCCCGACGGGTGAAAAACTGAGGAATTTGCCATCAGGAGCAAAGAGCTACATACGTGTGCAGGCGGCCGAAGGCGGGTCCTGGGCAGCCCGGAAAAAGGTGTTTTCACAGCGACACACCTGCGCGGCCAAGGTGTCGGAATAGCTGTTTGGGGGACACCTGGCACACAGCTGGTCTCCAGGAGACGACTTATAAAACCCCACTGGGCAGGCTGGAAGAGAAGGAGCAAAGAAAAATGCGTGAAAACCGGTCCTCAGTCCCCTTCTTTTAGTGACGCTGTAACTCCGAGCGTCATTCGAGCAGGGGGCTGGACTAGATGACCTCCAAGGTCCCTTCCAGTTCTATTCTATTCTATTCCTATTTTCTATTCTATTCTATTCTATTCTATTCTATTCTATTCTATTCTATTCTATTCTATTCTATTCTTTCTATTCTCTATTCTATTCTATTCTTTCTATTCTATATTCTATTCTATATTCTATTCTATTCTATTCTTTCTATTCTATTCTTTCTATTCTATTCTTTCTATTCTATTCTATATTCTATTCTATATTCTATTCTATTCTATATTCTATTCTATTCTATTCTATTCTGTATTCTTTCTATTCTATTCCATTCTATTGTCGAAAAATAACTTTATTGTCACTTTAAATGTAGGCTAATCGGTATAACATTAAAATGAGATTTCTCTGTGAGCTGAGGACTAGCAATAAAAGGAAGAGAGGCCCAAAACGTTTATCAGAGTAATTTTTTTTTCAAATGCCACCCGTGTCCTGCAGAAACTTATTTTCATTCCCCTCGTAATTGTATCGTTCCAAGTTCTAAAAATAAAATGATCTAATAAAGAAGGGCTTGGCATTAATAAATAACTCGGATTTTTTTCTCTCTCTGTGAATCTCGAAGGGTGTTTATTTATAGCCGGTCCTTTCTCCTGTCTATCCGAAAAGGGGGGGATTTTTTTTTTTTTTTGCCAGATTAAACTGTTTCCCTCCCTCGTTCCTTCTCTCCCTCTTCTCCCTGATAAATATCTATCGATTTCAATGCAGACGTATCTCAATCCAGGCGTCCTTGATTTATGACGCAGGAATGAAACACGTGAAGGGTCAGGGATTAATCAGAATCAGCTGGAAGAGACCTTGGAGGTCTTCTAGTCCAACCCCCGGCTCAAGCAGGAGACCCTAGACCATTTCAATCAATCAATCAGAATAGAGCTGGAAGGGACCTGGAGATCATCTAGTCCAGCCCCCTGCTCAGGCAGGAGACCCTGGGCTGTTTCAGACAAATGGCTATCCAGTCTCTTCCTGAAAACCTCACTTGGAAAACAGAAACGGCCCATTTGCAAAAAAACAACAACAACTGAACGGCCGTCCCAAATTTATCCGGCGTAACTGAGGGCGGGCAGCATTTTACGCTCCAGCATCCTTCCCCGTTGTGACCTTGACGTCTGCCCCCCTTGTGTGAGATATTGTCAAGGCACAAACCGGCCGTTTCCCCCGCATCTCAACGAAGCCCCTGCGGTGTGGTGTTTACAAAGTCAACGCCTGCCACTTCTTTCGGCGAAGAAGTCGAAAAAGCAAACAAGCATCTCCTCGGAGAAGCCCAGCGTGGCGCCAGCTCTCCGGAACACGCGTCGCCTTGGGTGAAGCGCGCGGTGTTTGCGGCTGCCGTCGTCTTATCAGGGTTTGTACAGGTGCGGGCCGGATGATCTTGCTGGAGCCCCTTAGGAGGGAAGAGGGGAGGGAGGGACGGGGAACATGGCTTCCATGCTTGGAGATCAATCTTGCCCGGAGAGGAGGAGACGTTTTTGCGACTTTGCAAAAATCCAGAAATGACACGGATGCTTTCAAAGGAAGAAGCGCGTCAGGAATGGTTCCAAATCACACTGAAAATTCAGATTTCGGCTTGGAAAAAGGACCGGGAGTCCTCCATTTATGACCAGAATGGAGCCTCAACTTTCCAGTTGTTAAGAGAGTTTTGCCCCATTTTTACGACTGTTCTGGCCACGGTTGCCAAGCAAAACACTGCAGTGGTTAATGTAGTCACACGGCTGTTAAGTGAATCTCGCTTCTCCCCCCCCCCCAGACTTTGCTTATCCAGTGACTTTTGCTCCATTTTATGACCTTTCTGGTCACAATGATGAGGACTAGGCCTTGTTATGTTTTTACCAGTCCCAGACTGTCGATCGAATTGGAGATTGAATCTTAAATAATAACAACAACAACACCAATAATAAATTGATCTTCCACCCAATTTTCCAATCCCAGGTTCACCAAACGCAGTGAGTACGGATAGTCCTCGCCTTACGACCACAAGGGAGCCCAAGATTTCCATCGCTAAGCGAGACATTTGCCCCATTTTACAAACTTCCTCGCCAATCGTTCATCTTTTCTGGATAAAAACCGTCTTTAGGAACCCCTCTGGAGTTGTAAAAAGCCTGTTTTTTTTTTTTTTTTTTTCCTGGCTTCCCCAGATAAAACAAACACACACCGCTGGGATTCTGCGCGGAAGGAGAAATATTTGCCAAATTAAGCCCCGAGGCTTGAAGGACTTAGGAGGTTTAAGGAGAACGGGAAAAACGAGGCATCCGAGGAAGCGTCTTGTGGCAGCTCACAAAATGGCTGGCTTTTTTGGGGGGGGGGGGTTGATAAAACAGGCAAATCAGAAATAAGTAAATAAATAACCACAACAAGCCTCCTTTATCCTCAACTTGGTTCAACTTTTTGGGGCTCGGCCGTGGTTGTAAGTGGAAGACTTGAGTATATTTCCCAACTCCAGGCGGAGTGAAAAGGGATTTCATTTCTCTAGGATTAATTGCTGTGGATGTTTCATCCAAATATTTGCCTTTCTTGCAGAAGGGACTGATTAAGATCTGTCTTTGCTTCACTCCCCAAACTACAAACTAGGTTAACCTTGAAGCATGATGGCCGTGCGTCGTGCAGCACAATTCACGAAGTCGCTTAAACGCCCCTCTTGGCCAGTTGAAGATGGATGTAATTCAGCCCCCTGCCCATCCTTTCGTTCTGTGAAAACCCTTGGAGGGACCCTGAAGGTCTTCTAGTCCAACCCCCTGCTCAAACAGGAGACGCTAGACCATTTCAATCAATCAATCAGAATAAAGCTGGAAAGGGACCTTGGAGGTCTTCTAGTCTCATCTGTGCTCAAACAGGAGACTCTAGACCATTTCAATCAATCAATTATTCAATCCTCTAACTTCCTGAATTTCAACCCCTCCCTATTCCTCTTGCCCCCAGATCGGTACCCCCAAAACCATCCTCCCCGAACCCAGGCCTTACCCAAACACGCGTCCTTCCGCTCTTCGTAGCCGGCACTGCAGACGCACTTCCCGATGGGCACCAGCCATTCCCCCTCGGCGCTGCAGTACATTTTGGGGGTGTCCCTCTCCTCCGAGTGCGAAACGCACTCCCCCCGCACCTCCACCAGGGAGGAGGAATCCGCCCCCGTCACCGCTTCGGAAAAGGCGGCCAGGTTCCTCACCATGGCCGGGCACTTCTTGTAATAGACCCGGAGGGAGACGATGGCGATGCAGGCCCCGATGTCCTGGAAAGCCAGGTAGAAGCCCCTCTTGGTCAGCGGCCCGACCCCCCGGACCTCGGTGTTGAGTTTGAGCCTGCGGACCCCCAGGTCCACGTTGGTGAAGCTCTCGTCGGCCGCGATGGTGTCGATCTTGACGAACTGGCTCTCCCGGGCGGTGCTGCCCAGATCCCGGTCCGATTGGAGGTAGTGAAGGTTAAAGGTTTCCTTGCAGGTGCCCAGCACGCCAGGCATGCTGTTGCAATCCCGCAAGGTGAATCGGATCTCGGCGTAAACCCGGTGGGCGCCGTGCCGCTGGATCCAGCTGGTCCTGAGCCAGGTGTTCTGGTTGGCCGTCATGACGTTGCACACTTGGTAGGTGTGGATGGGCTGGAAGGCTTCGTCCATCTCGTTGATGGAGTCCCACTGGGGGAGGAAGAAAGCGGGAGGATTTGAATCCGAGACTCTTTCTAATCAAGGAGAGAGACCCCGCCCCCCCCAAGCTAGAACTAAGGAGAGGTTCCCTGGCGGTGGGAAGAATCAACTGGCGGAAATGACTTGGCCTCCAGAAGTTGTGGGTGCTCCGTCCCTGTAATTGTTTTTTTTTTTTTTTTTTAAAAAGAAGAGAGCGGACAGCCGTTTGTCTGAATTGGTAACTGGGTTTCCTGCCTGAGCCGGGGGTTGGACTAGATGACCTCCAAGACCCCTTCCAGCCCTGTGATTCTATGACTAGGGGATTAAAGTGTATTAAAGAGAAAGGGGAAATAGGAAGATGGCAAGTACTTGTTGGAAAGAGGCGTAGAAGTCATAATTTTATGTTTTTCCTCCTTCTTCCCTTCCCTTCTTCTCTCTCTTCCTCTCCCTTCCTCTACTCTTTTTTCTTCCTTCTTTCGTTCCTTCCTTCCTTCCTTCCTTCCTTCCTTCCTTCCTTCCTTCCTTCCTTCCTTTCTTTCTTTCTCTTTCCCTTCCTTCCTCCCTTCCATTTTCTTCTTCCCTCCCTCCCTCCCTCCCTCCCTCTCTCTCTCTCTTTCTTTCCCAGCAGGGAAAGCCAACTGGGTGGCTGTGGGTCAGTCCCTCTCTCTGTTTCAGCCCAACCCACCTCATAAGGTTGCTGTCGTGGGTTCACCATGCTGTGTTATTTATAAAAATAATAAAGGCAGGATTGAAAACCAAATATCTAAGAAATACGTATGAGCGTCAGGCTGGTCCACAGAGGGTCAGTGCCACCCAGACCGGCTTTTTCGTCCTTTCCGATCGCAGCCTCAACGCCGCTGGCTCTGCAGCTGGAGGCAGCCTCCATCCTGGCTAGCCTTGATTAAGATTTGCCTGTCTCTCTTGGCATCTGGTGGGGGGTGGGTGTTCCTGGATGCCAGCCAAAGGCTAAAAGCCGACGCCAGCAGATGCATTCCAGGCTGGCAGAGAAGCCGTGGCTTCTTGCCTTCACGTGGCTCGGGGTCCGCCACGAATACCCAGGGCGGCTGGCCATCTCCTCTAAGGAGAAACCCCGGCTGGCAGATGGCGAGGCTGCCAGCTTCCGCAGGCCCGTCACGTCCGGCAAGGCTGGGAAACTTAAGTGGCCTTTGCTACAAAGCTGGCTGTGCCAACAAGCTTCCCCACCCGGATTGAAAGAGGGAAGAACAAAGATGGTAGGGACCTTGGAGGTCTTCTAGTCCCACCCCTCCTGCTCAGGCTTTTTTTTTTTTTTTTTGCAAAGGAATGGAGAGTCTTGTACTCTCTGCAAGAGGTTTTGGGCTAATTCTCACAGCTGGGGGGTCAAGTGAGAGCAAGGTTTTTCAACCTTGTTGGCTGTAAGAGGGGTGGGCTTCCACTCCCAGAATCCCCCAACCAACTGGCACGTAGTTGTGACAGTTAACTATCCCAGTTTCCCATGATCACCATTTATGACCTGTCCAGCCGGAAGTCAATTGGGGAAGCTGGATTCAGTTCACAACCGCGTATCTCCCTTAACGACCAAAGTGATTCGCTTAACGACCGTGGCAATCAAAGTCATAAAAACCGGGGCCCGGTTCGCTTAACGACCAGCCTCCAATCGTAGCCGTTAAGTCGAGGACTATCTGTCGTCCGAGGTGTTGAATTTTGCACAGTTTGGGAAAGGCCGTGCCGAGTGTGTTTCCAATAACATGCCAGCCGCCTGCGTTTTCCCAACCCGCTCGAGATGAACTGATCAAAAAGCATTAAGCCTGATTAACGGCCGGTCCCCGGTGATCTGGAGGCCTGAAAAAACAGATTTGGCTGAAATAAAGAGACAGGCTTTTGGGATAACAAGCCGGCATGCAGTAGCTGCTCCAGCCGTTCTCCCTAAGAAGAAGAAAAAAAATCCCTTCGCCGGACGCAAAATGTGGATGTCGTCGTTAATGCGCCGAGACAGGGCGCTTGATTTCATCTCTATGCGGGAATTTATCTAATAGTTTAAATGGAAGCTAATGCTAGATTAAGGGGGTAAAAAAAATATATATCAGATTATAAAGGGATAAAGAGGCTGGAAAAAGAAAGGATGTCAAACGAGCTTAAAATTGAGCCCACGGAGGCAAAAAATGACTTAAAACGTGGAATCGTAGGGCTGGGGGGCACCTCAGAGGTCTTCTAGTCTAACCCCCCCTGCTTAAGGAGGAGATCTTATACAATGCCGGTCAAACGGTTGTCCAGTCTCTTCTCGAAAACCTCCAGCGAGGAAGCCACCAGTTCAACAATTCGGAAAATTGGGGAATCGAACTGGTTCCATTGGGTGGTTTGTGATGATTGTGATTTTGATTGGGATTGATTTTGATTAAGACTGTGAGTGATTGTGATTGTGATTGATTTTGATTGTGATTGACTGAGATTGTGATTATGAATGATTTTGATTGGGATTGAGATTATAGTTGATTTTTTGATTGTGATCCTGGTCATGGTTATGGTTATGACTACGGTTGTGGTTGTTGTGGTTGTTATTATTATTGTTGTTACTTACCCCATGGGAAGGATAAATGAGCCAGCCCCAGTCACCAATAATCTTGGAGGTATCCAGCAAATTCACTGCAAAAGCAAGAGAAAAATCCATTTTTAGAAGATCCGAAGCTGTGGATCCTGGAACTTTGGGCATCACGTATCATCTGAACCCCGAGAATTTGGTTTTTCCTGCGTTTTCAAAAACAGACTGGATAACTACAGACAGTCCCCGACTTACAATGCTGCATTTAGTGACCGTTCAAAAGTTACAATGGCACTGGAAAAAAAAGGGACTTAGGACCGTTTTTTTTCACACTTACGACCGTTGCAGCATCCCCCAGAGTCACAGGATCAAAAATTCAGACGCTTGGGAACTGACTCAGATTTATGATGGTCACAGAGCCCTGATCCCCTTTCGCAATCTTCTCTGGGGAAGCCATTCATTTAGCGACCGTGCTATTCGGTTAACAACGGCAGGGATTCACGCAAGAGATATTGTCAAATAGGACAAAAACGCCCTTGACAAGCGTCTCAGAATTTGGGGCTCAATCCCGGACGTTAAGTCAAGGACGGCCTGTAATTTGACCCACATGGGATAAGGTCTCCTACCTTGGGATGAGGGGGTTGGACTAGAAGACCTCTGAGGTGCCCTTCCAGCCCTTTGATTTTGTGTTTCTCTATTCTGTGGATGGAGGAGTCTGTGGGGGTTGTGTGAAGCCACCTACGCGTGCGCGCACACACACACACACACACACACACACAGAGCCGCACCATCAACAAACTCTGAGCAGCGTTTGTTTTCCGAGCATGTTATCAAGATGTTTAAAATGCTCCCAAACCCCTGATCAAAACGGTGTGGAGCTGCCGCAGATCACGATAAGTCTTCGGCAGAGGTGGATAGAATATCAATTTCTAAGTCGTTAACTCTCTGCAAAACATTTATAGGAGGGGCCTTTTAATTGCAGTTTTCATATGTATGTATGTATGTATATATCTATATCGATAATCTATCTATCTATCTATCTATCTATCTATCTATCTATCTATCTATCTATCTATCTATCTATCTATCTATCTATCTATCTATCTACACCCTTTTCCAATCCACAGGTTAGGAAAGATTTCTTCTGAGTTTTTAATTCCTCTTTATTTTTTATTTTATTTTTCCCCCCTGTCCAAAGTTGTGCGCTCTCTCCTTCCCCCTTTTACCATTGCTACCGGGGAGAGGTGGGGGGGGGAGATTTTTTTTTTTTTTTTTTTAAATCCATTTTCAAATCCGCACAGCAATCAGGCAGACTTGGATTCCTCTGCTCACCCAAGGAGAGACGATGGCGAGAAGGAAAGGAAAAATAAAAAAATAAATAAATCAAAGTCCCATCTCTGAAGGAAATTGGGATTAATTATAATGGGGATATTATAAGAGAACGGTGGGAAGTCTGAGGTTGGGTGGGTGGGTGGATGGGGGAAAAAAACACCCAGCTTTGAATTTGGGGGTGTTGTTTTTCTCTTTTATCCAGGCCTGGATTCGATGGGGGGGGGAATTATAAATGTATAATTATAATTATATAATTAAAAATTATAAAATTGTAAAATATAAATCTCTTGTTTTCTGCACAGATTTTTTTTTAGGGAAACACCATAAAATTGTGTGTGTGTGTGTGTTTCTCATAATTTAACTCTGGGATTAATTCTGATAGTTCTCCAGATCAAGCTGGCTAAGTGTCACGCAATGTTGCAAGCGCTTAAATAATGCAGCTTTTAAAGCTTGCTTTAACATAAAGCCATTTGCGTAGCTGGAGGCCAGGCTTAATAATTCCCTCTGAGAAATAAAACTACCCTTCTGGGTCAAAATAGCTAATCATATTTTACTTTATGGCGAGCATTTTTAAGAAGACGCGGCATAGTCTGATGGCTGACAGGCGACTCAGTGTATTTAATGACACAATGTCATTTTTCTTTTGGGTTCTTTTTGCTAATTGTTTAATTATCCTGGGTTTTACCTATCCCCAATTTCCTTCCTTCCTTCCCCTTCCCTTTATTCCTCCCATCCCCTCTTCTCTTCCCTTCTCTCCTTCCTTCTTTCCCTTCCTTCCTCTTCCCTTCTTCCTTCCTTCCTTTCTCTCCTTCCTTTCCTTCTTTTCTCTTCTCTTCTCTTCTTCCTTCCTTCCCCTTCTCTTCCCTTCTCTTCTTCCTTCCTTCCTTCTTTCCCTTCCCTCCTTCCTTCCTTTTCCTTCCTTCCTCTTCCCTTCTTCCTTCCTTCCCTTCCCTCCTTCCTTCCTTCTCTTCCCTTTTCTCTCCTTCCTTCCTTCCTCTTCTCTTCCCTTCTCTCCTTCCTTCCTTTCCTTCTTTTCTCTTCTCTTCTTCCTTCCCTCCCCTTCTCTTCTCTCCTTCCTTTCTTCCTTCCTCCTCTCTTCCCTTCCCCTTCTCTCTCCTTCCTTCCATCAGTCTTTTCAGTGCCATTGTAAATTGGAACAGTCACTAAGCGAACTTTGTAAGTTGAGGACTATCTGTATAACCCAAAGAGGAAGAAGAAAAAAAAGCAAGGCTAATTGCCCCCCCCCCAAATAAAAATAGAGAAAGCTTTTTGGAGACGATACTCTGATTGCAAAAAAAAATAAAATAATTTTTTTAAAAAATCCGCCTTTTTATCTTTGGAGAGAGACAAAGATTTCCTTTTGGGAAATAACGATTTTTTCAAACGGTGTCCAATTACGGGCCGTTTAGGATGCTCTCCGCAGGCTCCCCGGATTGATGTCTCTCTCTCTTTAATCTAGAGGCTTGTGGCATCACAAGAGTTGTGAAGCTTTGGTGCTAAATTGCTTTGTTCTAAGGAAAGGGCCGCAGCAGCCTCCCACTGCCCAGAACAGCTGAGTGGATATTAAAGGTGGACAAATTGTGTCAAATTCCCCCCACACACACACACACCTCCGGTCAGCCGAGTTTTAAAAGTCGCAGATCAGCTCAGAAAAAAAAATAAAGTGGTGGGTTGTTTCGTAGGAGTCAAGGGAGGGGGAGAAAGAGGGTTAAGTTCAGACTTGCAAGATGTAAAAAAGATGCTGAGACTCTAGACAGAGAAGCAGAGAAGAGCAGCAAGGATGATTAGGGGACTGGAGGCTAAAACATATAAGGAAAGGCTGCTGGAATTGGATATGTCTAGTTTAACGAAGAGAAGGACGAGGGGGGGACAGGATAGCAATCTTCCTGTATCTCAGGGGCTGCCCCAAAGAAGAGGGAGTCAAGCTCTTCTCCAAAGCACCGGAAAGCAGGAGAAGAAGCAATGGATGGGACCTAACCAAGGAGAAGAGCAACCTGGAATTAAGGAAAAACTTCCTAACAGCAGGAACAATCAACCAGTGGAACAACTTGCCACCAGAAATTGCAGCTGCTCCATCACTGGAGTTTTTAAGAAGTTTTTAAGAAGAGACTGGACAGTTTTTTGTCTGAAATGGTATAGGGTCTCCTACCTGAGCAGGGGGTTGGACTAGAAGACCTCCAAGATCCCTTCCAACTCTGTTTATTCTATTCTATTCTATTCTATTCTATTCTATTCTATTCTATTCTATTCTATTCTACTCTGGATTCTATTCTATTCTATTCTGGATTCTATTCTACTCTACTCTAATCTACTCTATTCTATGTCAAAAGCAGACTTTAAAATAATTGTAAGCATTCTAAGAAAAGGAGCACATTTTAATCCCATTCGGAAACGTGCAAAAGGAAATAAAACAATCTGGACATTTGTTGTCCTCTCTCTGGATTGCAGCCCCCTCCCCACCCCACCCCCAGGCCAAATTCCCGAGAATATCAACTCTTTCTTGAAGAAAGAAATTGTTGAACATTTCGCTGGAACGGAGCAGCAAATGGTTTGCAAAGCTGGCAGAAGCCTCCTCCTTCAGTAACTCCGAACAGTGTGATGGCAATTTTGTGCCTCTTTTTTTCTCCCCCGTCGAGAGCTTCAAAAAAATAAAATAAAATAAAAAGATCCATCTTAGTGTCTCTGGGCAGAGCAAAACAGTTGTTATTTGGCTGGGCTGGTTTTTTTTTTTTTTTTGCCAGTCCTTTGCAGTCCATTAAAAACGCCTCTTCCTGCAAAGCGCCCGGTTAATTTATCTTTTTGTATAGGATGAGCAGAGAGGGCTGTGTATGTGTGTGTGTGTGTGTTGGATACACAGCTTCTGATCTTCTGCTGCTCTTTGACAGGGCAAGCTTTTAGTGAGACTTCTCTTACTGCTTAATTGACTCCCTCCCAATAAGTGGAGGCCTGGCTGTCTCGGCCCTCTGCAACCGGGCCTTTTTGCCAAAGGTTGAGAAAGGAGGACCTCCCGGAACTGGGATTCACACGACAGTGTTGACCCGGGTCAGCAAGGAACCCAGAAGCTGCCTTGCAGCCTTAAGGGCGCCAGGTTCAGTTGGAAAGCCCTTTTCCATAATCTATCTATCTATCTATCTATCTATCTATCTATCTATCTATCTATCTATCTATCTATCTATCTATCTATCTATATTCATCTATCAATCCATCCATCCATCATCTATCTCTATCCATCATCTCTCTCTCTCTCTCTCCATCAACTATCTCTATCTAGCTATCTAGCTATCTGTCTGTCTATCCATCATTTATCTCTCTCTATCCATCATGTATGTCTGTCCATCATCTATCTATTTACCAATATCTATCTAATCTATCCATCCATCATCTATTTATATCTATCCATCATCTCTCTTCTATCATCCCTCTATCTAGCCATCTATCTGTCTATCCACCATATATTTCTATCTATCCATCATCTATCTGTTTCTCTGTCTGTCCATTATCTATCTATCTATCTATCCATCCATCCATCCATCCATCCATCTATGAAAAAAGTGACTTTTCACACTTGCAACCATCACAGCATCCCCAGGGTCACGTGATCAACATTTGGATGCTTGGCTACTGACTCTTACTTATGACGGTCGCAGGGTCCCGGTGGGGTCACGTGATCCCCTTTTGCGACCTTCGGACGAGCGAAATCCACGGGGGGGGAGCCAGACTCGCTCAATAATCCTCTTACTCACTTAACAACTGCAGCGATCCACTTAACAAC